CTCTAGATAAGAATCAAACATGGGAAATTGTTGACCTACCACCAGGAAAGAAACCCGTGGGCTGCAAGTGTGTTTTCACAGTAAAGTACAAGTCAGATGGCTCTCAAGAAAGATACAAGGCAAGACTCGTGGCAAAGGGATATACACAAACCTATGGTGTTGACTATCAGGAGACATTCGCTGCAGTGGTTAAGATGAATACGGTAAAAAATTTGTTGTCACTAGCAGCTAACTTCGACTGGTACTTGGAGCAATTTGATGTAAAGAATGCTTTTCTTCACTAGCAGCTAACTTCGACTGGCAAAAACTTTGTTGTCACTAGCAGCTAACCTCGCTCCAATGGCTAATAATGTTAAGGAGTATTTCGAGAAAACCCTCTCTGCCTATCTGGAAACTTTTGGGGTTATTCATCAAAGTTCTTGTTCCTACACTCCACAACAGAACGGAGTGGCAGAAAAGAAGAACTGACATGTGGTTGAAGTTGCCAGATCCCTCCTGTTTGCATCCCATGTTCCTATAAAATTTTGGGGAGATGTTCTTCTTACTACTAACTTTTTTATCAACCATATGCCCTCCCGGGTTCTTAACTTCAAAACCCCCTTTAGCCTTCTCTTCCCGGATGAGGATCTTTTTTCTCTTCCTCTCCGTGTTTTTGGGTGCACTTGCTATGTGCATGTTCACAGCCATCAAAGGCACAAATTTGAACCTAAGGCTCGTAAATGTGTTTTTCTGGGATATGCCTCCACACAGAAGGGATATTGCTGTTTTAATCCAGTTAGCGGCACCCGCTTTGTTTCTCGGGATGTCACATTTGCTGAGTTGACCCCATTCTTTAGTATTTCTCCTGAGGGGGAGAAATCTGAAGAACCCTTTGCTATGTCTCCAGCTATTCCTCTTCCCATTCCTCTTGAGTCCTCTCATGAGGTGTCCACTTCTCCCACTGGACCTACCTCCAATATTCCTGCTCCTCCTCCTCCACCTCATTCTCCTATAATTCCTCCTCATCCTATTCTCCAAAGGTGGTTCAAAAGCACTGATTCAAACATGGGCAAGTTGTCTCCACTCCTACAGAAGAGCCTCTTGTTCCTCCCATCATTACTGAGGTAACAGGTCAACCTTCCTCTGATCCATCTACATCTTTCCCGGCCCTTGGCCTTCCTATTGCTCTCCGCAAGGGCAAGCAGAAGTGTACAGCCCATTGTATCTCCAAATACCTGTCTTACAAATTCTCTCTCCTTCCTACTACTCTTTTCTTGCTTCTGTTTCTTCCCATGTGATACCCAGGTCCGTATCGGAAGCCTTATCTAAACCTGAATGGAGGGATGCTATGATGGCTGAACTGGATGCTTTGCATAACAACCATACCTGGGATATTGTTGACTTAACTGAAGGGAAGGAACCAGTGGGTTGTAAATGGGTGTTTACCATTAAATATCACTCTGATGGATCTATTGAGAGGTTTAAGRCTRGGCTGGTTGCTAAAGGCTACACTCAGATGTATGGTATTGACTATCTTGAGACATTTGCCCTTGTAGCTAAGATGACCTCAGTCCGGGTTTTGTTATCTCTAGCCGCTACTTTTGATTGGCCCCTACACCAGTTCGATGTTAAAAATGCCTTCTTGAACGGAGACCTACATGAAGAGGTCTATATGTCTTTGCCTCCAGGGGTGTATGGGAAGGAAATACAAGGCAAGGTGTGTAAACTACAGAAATCTATTTATGGTCTCAAATAGTCTCCTCGGGATTGGTTTGAGAGGTTCAGGGCTGCTATTGTCTCCTTTGGTTACACACAAACTAAATCTGATCATACCCTGTTCTTGAAGAGAAATGGCTCACTAGTGACCTTCTTGATAGTTTATGTTGATGATATTGTGGTCACGGGTAATGACACTCAATAGGTCAGTAAACTCAAAAGATTTCTTAACTTTGAATTTGAGATCAAGGATTTGGGAGATCTTTGGTATTTTTTGGGCATTGAAGTTGCTAGATCTAAGGATGGTATCTTCATTTCTCAGTGTAAATATGTCCTTGACCTCCTTGTTGAGACTGGTAAACTTGGAACTAAACCAATCTCCACCCCTATTGATCCCAATCATAAGCTTTCTACTACAAATGGTGACCTTTTATCTAATAAGGGGGTGTTTCAGAGACTGCTTGGAAAGTTGTTATATCTTTGCATGACTTGGCCGGACACTTCCTATGCAATAAGTGTTATTAGTCAATTTATGCATTCTCCCAGAGATACTCATTCTGTGTTACTTGAAAGGTACTCTAGGGAAAGGTATTCTATTTGCCAAACATGGGCACATGAAGCTGGAAGCTTTCACTGATGTTGATTGGGCAGGATGTATTGATGATAGGAGATCCACCTCAGGCCATTGTGCTCTGGTTACTGGGAACATTGTGTCATGGAGGAGTAAGAAATAGTTTGTAGTTGCTAGATCCTCAGTTGAAGCAGAATACATGGCAATGGCACATGGTGTGTCAGAATTACTATGGCTACGATCCCTTTTAGAAGAATTGGGGGTTGATTATGAGAAGCCATTGATGCTCTACTATGACAACCAAGCAGCTATCAATATTGCACATAATCCTGTTCAGCATGACAGAACTAAGCACATTGAGGTTGATAGACATTTTATAAGGGAAAGAGTTTCCTCAAGAGAAGTTTGTTTGCCATTCATCACATCAGACGAGCAATTGGCTGATATCTTGACCAAGGGATTTCCAAGAGGGAAAATGACACACTATATAAGCAAGCTGGGCATGATTGACATCTATGCTCAGCTTGAGGGGGAATGTAAAGAGACTGGGCCGAATGGGTTCTAGTATCTTCTCTTGTAATATTTTTTTCTATTTTCCTATTAGCTAATGGGCCTCTCTTAATGGGCTTGTTATTTCTTTTTGTTTGATCTCTTTATGTTACTGCCTAGCTGGTCGCCCACTTAAGGGCATACCTGTAATTATTTTAACATTAATTTTTAGTAAAAAGGATTAGAGAAGAAAGGGAATGATGATTCGAACCTTTCTTCTCCTTCCTCCTCTTTTCTCCATCTTTTTCTCTTGTACTGCTGCTCTTGCTTTTCTTCCTCATTTTTCTCTCTAATTTTTCAAGTTTACACCTATTTTTGAGGACTGGTTTACATCTGATTCCAACTGAAAGAGTTACCATCTACATTGAATTTCTCAGCCACCGAGGAGTCCTGATTTACAGAAATTTGATACAAGAGAGGAAAGGCATCTTTCAAACACACTTCAGAACACCAAGAGTCTTTCCAAAATTTGATACTTTCCCCATTTCCCAAGTTGTAACCAATTCCTTCCTCAAATAAATTAGTGTTCTTCATTATACCTGTCCAAATG